TTTGCCTGCCTTATAAACTCTCCCTTTCAGAGCTAACAGACTCAATTGCATCCACAGGGCACTGGCCTTGGCACTTGTGCTGCCTTTGGGGGGTGGGAGGCCCTGCTGTTCCTTCTCTGTACTCTTTATCACAAAAGGCTGATTACCCCCCTCCTCTGGCACTGGAATCACAAAACCTCAGTGTACATGGGGCCAGGACCTCTCTTCATGTCTATCACTAGAAGCAGTGAATAAGCTCAAATGACTGTTCATGAGTCTCCACCCATGTTCTCAGTCCCTAGCTTTGTCGGCTGGAGGAGCTCGAGAAGGTAGGTCTGGACGCCAAATGTGAGGTGATCAAAGCTGTTAACAGCGTGAACCTCCTCTGAAAGCCCCATCCTGAGCTCTTGGTGCCAGGGAAGATGGACACAGGACAGAAGCAGCAGGAAAATGCAGCCTTGGCCAGTCTGAGGTTGGTGAGCCAAATCCCCAGGCTCCCCCACCCCCAATCCCTGGCTCCCACAAGGTGCACTCAGGGGCCTGAAGTCACTTTCTGGGCAAGAGGCAGTTGCCCCTCAGAAGGCCCCAGTTTGCTACCTGGCTTGGGTTTGGGTGCCCAGGGCTGTGGGGATTTTTGGGACACTGGATTTTCAGTGTTAAAACAAGCACAGTCCCCAGACAAACCTGCATGATCTGGCCACCGCAGGTCCATTAGTGAGCTCTGGAGACTGGCCCCTGTCTTCAGTCTGAGGGTTTTTCCCCCTAACTCCCCCCCCACCCCGAAGGACATTGTCCTGCTGCATTTTTTGTTGTTATTCCTCACCCAAGGAAATGTTTCCATTGAGAGGGAGAGGGAGAGAAAGAAGGAGAGGGAGAGGGAGAGAGAGAAAGGGAGAGGGAGAGGGAGAAGGAGAGGGGAGAGAGAGAGAGAGGGAGAGAGAGATCTCAATTGGTTGTTTTTTTCAAGAGCCCTAACTGGGGATCAAACCTTCCACCCGGTATGTGCCATGGCCGGGAATGGAACCTGCCACCTTTCGGTATACTGGATGATGCTCCAACCAACTGAACCTTAACTGACTTCTAAGGGGCCTTAAGTGGGTAAAAGATCACCTTGCCATATAGGACGTCCAGAATAATTGTGCTGTGTGTTGTGGTTTTTTCTCAGATCTTCATGGGCTCACAGACAGAATTGTGCACACTTACCCTGAGATACACACACACACACACACACACACACACACACACACACACACAGATACACATGTATGTGGACATGTACCTCACTCACCCCACACATACACACTCAAAAAGACATATCCAAACTTAGAAACACATTCAGAGTCACACACAGACACACACACACACATGCTTATGTTCCCACAGACACGCTCACAGAAACACACATACCCAAAGACACAGGTCCTTATAATACAGACACATCACACAAATGTGTAAGGAGAGCTAAAGTCTGAAAAGTGTACATACTCAACCAAACACACACAGCTAAACCTTTGACAGGCACACCCTGAACCACCCACAGACCCCATGCAGCTCCATGACCTCATATCTGATACATGACCTCCGTCCCTCCCAGTAGCCTAGACCTGGCCTCCAAGCACTCCAAGAGCCCTTAGCAGGGAATATGGTGGAAGATTGTTCAAAAGAGACATTCAGAGAGGATGGAGCCAGAGGGCTAGCAATTTGGAGTCACCTTCCTTCCATATGGCACAATCCTCAGACTCAGCGCAGCCCTTGAGCCAGGCCTCTGGACCTGAAGACCACTCGGGGATGTGATTGAAGGATTAAAAAACATATTGCAGCCTATATTGGAAATTTATTTACCTAAAAAGTTTTCAAAGAGTCCCAAACCCAATAAAAACAACTAAGGCATAAATCCTATAGAGAATGATCTATGAGGAATGGAAAACATAGTGCTTACAAAAGTGAAACATATGTTTAATTATGGTGCATCCTGCATGAAAGAATTGTATTAGGTGTTTTTGTGGAATTATACAGAAGCTATACTATAACTTTGAGAAAATAAATTTGGACGAAATTTTTTCCTGTGATTGCAACTATGCTACTAAACAAGCATTAGACACATGAATGGGAAATGCACAGGAAAGAAAATGCTAGAGGTGAGAGGAAAGTGACATTGTGGGAAATTTCTTTTCTAATACTTCTGTAAAATGGGCAAATAAAAATTAAGTTACAACCATATAGGAGTATTGTAATCAAAATCCTCCTAGCCGCAGAGAATAAATTACTACTCAAGCTTTTTAAAAAAATATTTTTATTGGTTTCAGAGAGGGAGGGAGAGGGAGAGATAGAAACATCAGTGATGAGAGAGAATCATGGGTTGGCTGCCTCCTGCAAACCCCACACTGGGAATCAAGACCACAACCCAGGCATGTGTCCTGACCAGGAGTCAAACCGTGACCTCCTGAGTCAGCGGTTCTCAACCTGTGGGTCGTGATCCTTTGGCAGTCGAACGACCCTTTCACAGGGTCGCCTAAGACCATCCTGCATATCAGATATTTACATTATGATTCATAACAGTAGCAACATTACAGTTATGAAGTAGCAACGAAAATAATTTTATGGTTGGGTCACAACATGAGGAACTATATTTAAAGGTCCAGAAGGTTGAGAACCACTGTCCTGAGTTCATAGGTCAATGCTCAACCACTGAGCCATACCAGCCAGGCTCCACTCAAGCTTTTAACATCTTTGTAGAAGCTGAATAAAAAATTTTTAGAAGCAGAATGAATCAGATTTACTGAGTTCGACCCTAAGAACCCACCTGCTAATTTGTCATTTCAGAAAGATCCAACATTAAAATCTATGTTTCACACCAATCAGAAAGGATATATGCACCCCTATGTTCATAGCAGCACAATTTACAATAGCTAAGATTTGGAAACAGCCTAAGTGCCCATCAACAGATAAGTGGATTAAAAAACTGTGGTACAGCTACACAATGGAATATTATGCTGCTGTAAAAAGAAAGAACTCTTACCATTCAGAACAGATGGATGGACCTGGAGAGCATTATGCTAAGTGAAATAAGCCAGTCAGAGAAAGCTAAACATCACATGATCTCATTTGTGAAATATAATGAACAACATAAACTGATGAACAAAAATAGATCCAGAGACACAGAATCATCAAACAGACCATCAAACCTCAGAGGGAAGGCATGGAAGGGTGAGGGGGTGGGGGGGAGGAGGCGGCAGATAAGAGATCAACCAAAGGACTTGTATGCATGCATATAAGCATAACCAATGGACACAGACAGTAGGGGGATGAGGGCATGTGCTGGGGGGTGGAAGTGGCCAGGGAGAGGTTAATGGAGGGAAAAGGAAATATGCAATACTTCAAACAATAAAGAATTTAAATAGAAAACTAAAACAAACAAAAAAACCCTGTTTCAGTTCACTAATAAAAAATCATTTACTGAGGACCTGCTATGTGAACAACTTTTGGGATGCAAAGATGAACAAGACATTCTTTATATTTCTTGGAGGAGATGCTGCCTGGACTGAGGGTGGAGGAGGAAATGTTGATTCCAGGAGTGATTAGGAGGAAACCTAATGGGCCAGGGAATCAAATGAATTAGGTAAGAGGAAGAATGATGTGCAGTCAGGAACAACTGCATTGTTTCGGAAAGTGGGACTAGATGGAACTTAGGCGATATCACATGGGTGGGCCTTCAGGATTGGGCTGGGTAGAATGTAGTTTCATTTTGGACCTGAGTGTTTGTAGACCTAAAGAAGATTCCTCATCCATGGAGATACAGGGCGGGGAGACATCGGTGGAAAGACAGTGGAGGAAGCTTGTGGATTTGCAGGAAACAATGCACAGTGTGAGAAAATAACCAAGGAACTAAACCTGGGAAAGAGCACGTTAAAAAGGGTTGGCAGAAAGACTGGAGCCATGATATGGCTGGGAGCTGTCAGAGGCAGAAGAACTACAAGTCACAAAAGCCAAAGGAAGATCATGCCAATCTGTGAGGGTGCATTGAAGATGAGCCAGTGGCCAGGACTGAGTCTCGGAAAGGGACACCAAGAACATCCTGTGGACAGCAGTGATGCCCGGAGAGTTTCTACTTGCAGGAGTGAAGCAGAGGACCAGGAGCCCATCAAAGTGGTGGATCTCAGCTCATGGAATCTAAGCATCTATAAAAAAGCATCTATAAAAAGTCCAGGGTGATCCCCACAGATGAATTTCTTATTAGAAATTGCTGGACTCTTATTGAGTTATCACTCAAGGTATCATGGGCTTATTAAAGTTTGGTTGGAGGTTAATGGGCAAGTAATATTTATGATTTCTTTTACACTTCTATGAAAAGGATTAGAAGTTGTGACTCTTTTGGTCTAAACTGAGCTAGCTCTCCTTTGCCAAGAAGTGTTTCCCTATTCTTCCTTTTGTCTTCCTAGTCTTCTAAATTTATTAATCAGTGTTAAAGCATGTGCTAACAAATTAAATACAAATTTAATAATATTTTAAATTTCTTTCCTTGAATGAGATCACCCTGATTTTAGGTTGGGCCTTATGACTTAACATTAAATAAAAATACAGTATATGATAATTAGCAACTACCTAGTGTGTGGATTCTGGGTAAAAATGTCAGCCACTGAAAAAAGTCTTGTCTTGAGTCATTCAGAAAAAATCACATGGTAAAGACCAAATCTAGGAGAAGGTTAATGCTAATTTCTCAAAATCTGTAAACTATGCAGCACAGATGCTGTTGAAATCATGAAGTGGAATAGAGAAAATGTACCAGGGAGAGCAAGATGCTTGAATCCGTTGATATTTGGTTAGTCATTCTCATATTGATGGTTGGGTGGTCATGTAAAACCTCAGGCAAGGGCCTTCTGAATGGCCACTTGAGGAAGTGAAGCTGTCAGGATGGGCTTCATACAGAATTGATTTTCTTTACAAAAGACCACTTACTGGCATTTTATTTATTATAAGATAAATAGGAAGGACAATTAAGTTATCTTTCTGTAACCAGATGACCCAAAACTGGTTGAGCCAACTCTCCCTGCATTTTGGCCTATGTTTCTGTGAAATGGTTTTAACATATTTTCTATCACTGTAAGAAATATGTGCTGCTTCCTGATGGCATCTCAGTTGAAGGACAGACGAGGGGAGGTTGACTGGTGCTGGGACACTGGAGTGAGGAGAAGGTCAGTGAAGATTGCCGGTCATCTTAATTCTACTAGTTCTGGAAAATATGAATTTCTCGGGGACTCCAAGCAGCAGGCCAAGGGGAGGGCTCCGAGGGGGCTCTGGGTCCTCACACCAGCCCCCTCCCTCCGAGGCCCTAGGGCAGTCAGAAGCTCTCCATGAGGTCCCATGACCTTGCCTCTGTTCATTTCCCTCCGGAAATTGAAGGATGCCCTTCTGGGTGGGAAGAAATAAAGCCTCCGAGTCCCACAGTGTGTTCATGGGAACCTGACTCCAGCTGCATCTCCTTCAAGTCAACAGCTTCCAGGGTCAGTAGGAGGGTCTGGCCTTTCTGAAGAGCTGCTTAAAGGCTGCCCCAGGTAGCACTTGGGAAAGAAAATAGGCTACTGTCATGGATCCCACTTCCCTACCCAGGGGTCAGATGCATCTTCTAAGAGGGCAAGTTGGCAAGATGGAGAGGAGAGCAATGGGACTAGCCAACCATGAACCCGCCTCACAGGCTTCCTCCCCAGGTCTCTGCATTGCCCTGCCCCTTGGGGTCTGGGCTGAGCCTCAGAGAACCCAGTCTTACCTTTGCCCTGGGTAGAGGGCTGGGGAGCTCTAGGGAAAAGGACTGCTGTCCCGTGGCCCCAAGGAGCTGGGTCATTGGTTTCCTTCCTTGGGTGGACATTGCACAGCTCTGTCCTTGGTCAGTCCTGTCTGAGATGCTGATACCTGGGGGACCATAGGTTGTGGAGAGGTCAGGCTCCTCTTGGGGTAGGACCTAACCCCCCAAAAGCAGAGAAAGGGATGGAGGATGGGAGCTAAGTGCTGAGGAAGCATCTTGTGGTGAGGTTCCTCAAAGTCTGCTAGGCTCTCCACCTGTTCTTGACATTAGATATCAGAGCTTAAGCCAGGCTGGTGTGACTCAGTGGTTGAATGTTGACCTATGAACCAGGAGGTCATGGTTCAATTCCTAGTGAGGGCACATGCCGGGTTTTGGGCTCAATCCCCAGTCTGGGGTGTTGCAGGTGGCAGCCGATCAATGATTCTCTTTCATCATTGATGTTTCTTTCTTTCTTTCTCTCTCTCTCTCTCTCTCTCTCTCTCTCTCTCTCTCTCTCTCTCTCCCTCTCTCTCTCTCCCACTCTGAAATTATTAATAAAAATATATTTAAAAAAAGAAATAAGAGCTCAAGGTTGGGGTGTCTGGCAGACTGCATTTACTTCACAATCATTGGCAAACTCGAGGCCATCAGCAGGAGGGATCGGTCTCCCCTGGTCGGCCAATGCTGTGCATCCTGGAGAAGGGTTGCCAGTTGTGCCAGTCACAGGTGTGTCTTCAGAGCATGACTTCACCCGTAGGAAGGCAGTTATCAAGACTAAGACATTTGCAGGGGCTAAAAGAAAGTACAATCCTGAACCCTGAGCATCCCAGGCTGTGGTCAGGAAGGCCACCCCTGGAGGGGCAGGCAGCCAGTGTGGTATGTGAGTTTTCAGGGATCCCCCTCCCCACACTGTCAGCATTCCCAAGGCTCACCTTTCGGAGGGGTAGAAGGGGACGTGCTGCTGATTTTCGGTGGTCCAATCTGGAGCTGTCTGGCCCAGCTGGGCAGACAGAAGAGTTTAAATGTGGGTTCCCCCATTTCGGGCCAGTCTGGCCGTGTCTTGCTTGTGTCACAGGTGGGAAGCGGGAGTAGCCCTGGCTGCCCTGGGGCCTGTAGGGAAGGGTGTGAAGGAAGGTGTGGAGGCCCCAAGGCCTCAGAGAGGCCCCTCCAGACAGCTCTCACCTCCAGATGCAACTTCCTCCCACACCCCCAGAAGCCTAAGGCTGTCCCCAGGGAGGCTCCAGAAACACAGTCCAGTCTGAGCTAAATGATGACCAGCAACTGCCCAGGACCACAGTGAACAGGGCGCTTTGCCCCAGGCTTCTCTCAGCAGGGATTCACCTCTCCTCCCACTGCCATTGTGCCCCTTCCCAGGCAGTCTTTGCTTAGCCAGAGGGTTCCTAGTCATGGTCTCTTGGGAAGGCTGGTTGAGGGTGGGGTATGTACCAGCCACATGACACAATCACTCCTTCTGAATGAGGGGACTGTGCTTGGCCACGTGGAGGGATAGGGCCTGCAGGGAAAGATGCCCTGAGTCCAAGCCCCGCCACCCCCTTCTAATGGCAGCTCTGAGAGCCTGGTGGGGCCCATGTGTGGATACCCAGGAGCTTGTTACATTTTCTTTGGCCTGAGGACCAGTCCACAGGTGGGATATTCACTCAGAGACTCAGGCCAGATGGACTAGAGGGCTGAGAACTCTCTGTGGAGATGGTTCTTTCTGGAGTGCTGGAGGGCCCACCAGTTTTACCTGTAGCTGCTGCCCACCATGTCTTGCTCCCTGTGCCCAGCAGGTGCCTGACTCCTGAAGCATTGAGAGGTCTGGGTTCCCATTGGCAGGGACTCCTGGCCCAGGGAACAGTTTGCAGAATGGCCCAACAGAGGGGAGATGGTGGGAGGAGGTGATTGGGAAGGAGGGGAGGATAGGCAGGTGAGCTGCCTGCCCAGGTGTCTGCAGGCCAGTGAAGGTCCAGAAGGGGGTTGTGGGGCAAAGGAAAAGTGAAGAGCAGAGAGGGAGGCCAGCTGGACAGGGTGAGGGAAGGAGGAGAAGGGGGACTGGCCGGGAAGTGGAGCAGGGGACCCAGGGGACTGTGGAGGCTGCAAGCCTTTTGGGCCACCAAGTGAGGAGGGTGCCCATTGGTGAGAGATGGCAACTTGGTTTGGCGAGGTGGGGGAAGAGGGGGAGGACCAGGCCGAGGGCCCTGAGGGGGGGCCTGCCAAAGGCAGTGTGGGAAACCAGGTGAGGAGGAAGAGGCAGGGGAAGTGGGAGGGGGCGAGGGTGGGCTGGGGACAGTAGGAAAACAGAAGGGCTTTTTCCTCATCGCTGCCAATGCACAGAGTGAGAGCTGGACCCAACTGCGGGATTCTGGAATCTGCCTGTCCTTGTGACCTCAGGAGCTGAGAATTCTAGAGAGAGACCTGGAAGCCCTGCATGAAGCACAACTGTGTGCTCTGTAGAGATGAGCAAACCAAGGTCTTTCTTTTTCAATGCAGTTTACTTTTATCATTACTGTGTTATTTTCAGGTGTACAGCATTGTGGTCAGACAATCTAGTACTTTACAAAGTGACCCTCCAGATATTTCTAATACCCACCTGGCAATATGCATAGTTATTACAATACTAGAGGCCTGGTGTATGAAATTCGTGCACTGGGGCATGGGGTGATATCTCAGTCCCGCCTGTGCCCTCTCATAGTCCGGGACCCCTCAGGGGAATGTCCACCTAAGCCGACAGGTAGACATCCTTCTCGCAATCTGGGACCCTTTGCTCCTTACTGCCTGCCTGCTTGCTGCTCCTTAGGAATGCCGCGGTGGTGGGAGAGGCTCCTGCCACTTCCACTGCACTTGCCAGCCATTAACCCGGCTTCTGGATGAGTGGTGTTCCTCCTGTGGGAGCGCACTGACCACCAGAGGGCAGCTCCTGCATTGAGCATCTGCCCCCTGGTGGTCAGTGTGCATCATAGCCACTGATTGTTCTGGTCGTTCCACTGTAAGGGTCGCTTAGGCTTTTATTATATAGACTAGAGGCCTGATGCATGAAATTCATGCAAGAGTAGGCCTTCCTTCCCCCAGCTGCTGGCATCGGCTTCCCTCTGGACCCGGGCTTCCCTCTAGCCTACAGCAGGCACCCGGGACCTGGGCTTCCCTTGCAGCCCTGGTCTAATCAGCATATTACACTTTTATTATTATAGATTATTGAGTATATTTCCTATGATGTACTTTACGTCCCCATGACTATTTTGTAAATACCAATGTGTCTTTCTCAATCCCATCATCTTTTCCCCCCCAGTTCCCTTAACTCTCTTCTGTCTGGCAACCCTCAGTGTGTTCTCTGTATCTATGAATCTGGTTCTGTTTCATTTGTTTGTTTATATTGTTCTTTAAATTCAACATATGGTATTTGTTATTTTTTAAACTAAATTTTATTTTATTATTATTATTTTAAAATATATTTTTATTGATTTTTTTTATAGAGAGGAAGGGAGAGGGATAGAGAGTTAGAAACACTGATGAGAGAGAAACATCAACCAGCTGCCTCCTGCACACCTCCTACTGGGGATGTGCCCGTAACCAAGGTAAATGCACTTGACCAGAATCGAACCTGGGACCTTTCAGTCTGCAGGCTGATGCTCTATCCACTGAGCCAAACCAGTTAGGGCTATTATTATTTTTAAATATATTTTTATTGATTTCAGAGAAGAAGGGAGAGGGAGAGAGAGAGAGAGGTAGAAACATCAATGATGAGAGAGAATCATTGATGGGCTGCCTCCTGGATGCCCCCTACTGGGGATAGAGCCCGCAACCTTGAGCATGTTCCCCTTGACTGGAATTGAACCCAGGACCCTTCAATCCCCAGGCCGACACTCTATCCATTGAGCCAAGCCAGCTAGGGCTTAAATCTTATTGTTGACAGTATTACAGACATCTCCCATCACCCTTCCCCCTTTGCCTTCCTCCTCCCAGTCCCTGCCTACCGTCCCAGGTGTCACTACACTATTGTTTGTGTCCATGGACTATACATATCTATATATATAAAAGGCTAAGTGACCAGCTGACTGGCCGACTGGCCAGTAGGTATGACGTGCACTGACCCACCAGGGGGCAGATGCTGAATGCAGGAGCTGCTGAGCGACAGCAACTTTGCAGAGTGCCCTCTTGCACTCTGGGACCCCTCTGGGGATGTCAGACTGCCGGTTTTGGCCCCATCCCCACAGGCCAGGCCAAGGGACCCCACCTGCCAGAGGGACTATGCTCACTCTGCAGATGCCCTTTGAGCCCCAGTGCTGCCCCAGGGGTGGCCAGCTGGGAAGGGACTGCGGCAGGTTGGCTCCAGGGTGTGTCCCCTCATAGGGATCAAGCCTATAAATGGGAGGCAAACTATGTCCTCTTGGTTCATAGGTCAATGTTCAACCATTGGCTGCCTCCTGCATGCCCCTTACTGGGGATTGAACCTGCAACCTGAGCATGTGCCCTTGACTGGAATTGAACCTGGGACCCTTCAGTCTGCAGGTGGATGCTCTATCCACTGAGCCAAACCAGCTAGGGCTCAATGTCCTATAGTTTTCCAAGTATAGGACTTTTACCTCTGTTAAGTTTATTCATAGGTATCACTTTTTGTTGTTCTTGAAACGGTAAATGGGATTGTTTTTTAGTTTCTCTTTCTGAGAGTTCATTATTGCTGTATAAAATTGCCATCAAGCCCTAGCCAATTTGGCTCAGTGGATAGAGCGTTGGCCTGCAGACTAAAGGGTCCCAGGCTCAATTCTGGCCAAGGGCACATGCCTGGATTTCGGGCTTGATCCCCCGCGCCGCAAGGAGGGGGCATGCAGGAGGCACCAATCAATGATTCTCTCTCATTATTGATGTTTCTATCTCTCTATCTCTCTCTCTTCTCTCTGAAATCAATGAAAAAAACATATTTAAAAAAAAAGAAAAAAGAATATGGTTCCCTAAATGTTAAAAAATAAAAATAAATAAGAATTAAAATGCCATCAATTTCTGGCTGTTACCTTGTTGAATTCATTTAAGTCTAATGGTTTCCTGGTGGAGTCTTTAGGGTTTCCTATGTACAAGATCATGTCGTCTGTGAATAATAAGAATTTTATTTTCTCCCTTCCAATTTGGATGCCTTCTATCTCTTCTTCTTGGCTGATCTCCATGGCTAGGACTTTCAGTACTATATTAAATAAGAGTGGTGAATGTGGACATCCTTGTCTTATTCTTGTTCTTAAGGGAAACACTTTTAGTTCCCATTGAGTATGATATTGGCTATAGGTTTGCTATATATGGCCTTTATTATGTTGAGGTATAATTCCTTTATTCCCACTTTGCTGATATATTAATCAAAAAAGGATTCTAGATTTTGTTGAATGCTTTTTCTTAATCTATTGATATGATCATGTGATTTTTATCTTTCATTTTGTTTATGTGATGTATCACATTTATTGATTTGTGAATATTGTACCAGTTCTGCATCTCTAGAATAAAACCCTCTTGATGTATGATTTTTAAAAATATATTGTTGTATCCGATTTGCTAATATTTTGTTGAGAATTTTAGCATCTGTGTTCATCAGGGATATTGGCCTGTAATTTTATTTCTTTGTTTGTTTTTATCTGATTTTGGAATTAGGATATTCCTGGCTTTGTAAAAAGAGCTTAGAAGTGCTCCTCCCTTTTGAATTTTTTGGAATAGTTTAAGGAAGATAGGTGTTAGTCCTTCTTTGAATGTTTGGTAAAATTCTCCTGTAAATCCATTGGTCCAGGACTTTGGTTTGCTGGGAATTTTTAAATTACTGTTTCAATATCAGTTGTTATTGGCCTATTCAGGTTTTTTTATTCTTCCTGATTGAGTTTTGGAAGATTGTCCATTTCACCCAGGTTTTCCAGTTTGTTGGCATATAGTTCAAAGTATTTGCTTATAATCCTTTGTATTTCTGTGGTGTCCATTGTTATATTGCCTCCTTCATTTCTAATTTTATATATTTGGGTCCTTTCTGTTTCTTGATGAATCTGGATAAGGGTTCATCAATTTTATTTATCTTTTCAAAGAACCAGCTTTTGGATTCATTGATCTTTTGTAGTATTGGTGTGGTTTTTTTAGTCTCTGTTCTTTATTTCTGCTCTGTTCTTTATTATTTCCTTCCTTCTACTTCTCTGTTATTTTCTTGCTGTTCTCTTTCCAATTAGTTTAGTTGTATGGTTAGTTTATTAGTGATCTTTCTTGTTTTTTGAGGTAGGCCTGTAATGCTCTCGACTTCCCTTTCAGGACTGCTTTCACTGTGTTCCATAGGTTTTAGTTGGTTGTATGTTAATTTTTATTTGTGTCTAGGAAGTTTTTAACTTTTTGCTTCATCTCATTGGTAATCCACTCACTGTTTAATAACATGCTACTTTGCCTCCATGTATTTGAGTGTTTTGGAGTTTTTTAAAAATTGTAATTTGATTTCTAACTTCATGCCATTGTGATAGAAGAAGATGCTTGGTATGATATCAATCTTCTGGAATTTGTGTAGACTTGTTTTGTGTTTGAACATGTGGTCTATCTTTGAGAATGTTCCATGTATGCTTGAGAAGAATGTATATTCTGCTCTTTGGGGTGAAATGTTCTATAAATATCAGTTAGCTCCATCTGATCTAGTGTGTCATTTAAGGCCTCTGTTTCCTTGTTGATTTTTTTGTCTGAAGGATCTATCCAGTGAAGTCAGTGGGGTCTTAAAGTTTTCTACTATGACTGTATTGTTGTCAATCTCTCCCTTAAAGCCCATCAAGAGGTTTTTTTCTTTTAAAAAATATATTTGGGTCTTCCTGTATTGGGTGCATATATGTTTACAAGGGTTATATTTACTTGTTGATCATTCCCTTTAGTATTATGTAGTGGCCTTCTTTGTCTCTTGTTAGGGCCTTTGTTTTGAAGTCTATTTTGTCTGATATGAGTATTGCTACCCCAGCTTTTTTTTCCCATTTGCGTGGAATATTTTTTTCTATCCTTTCACTTTCAATTAATGTGTATCTTTTGTTCTGAGGTGGGTCTCTTGAATACCGCATATTTTCTTACCCATTCAGTCACCCAATGTCTTTTGATTGAACATTTAATCCATTTACATTTAAGATTATTATTGATAGGTATTTATTTATTGCCATTTTAATTTTCTCTAGGCCTATGATACTCTTTGAAGACTCTGATTTCTACCTGGACAAAGGAAAGGGTAGATGTGAGGAGAAGATGGGTGGATTGTGCTGGACACTCTGTTTCCTTTTTCAGACTCACTCTCTCCCCTTCTTCCCCTGTTCTGCACTGTTGGGGGCAGATCTATGGGGACTGTGTTAGTGGGATCTCCTGCTTTACAGCTGGGTGCAGTCAATGGGGAGCCCTGACAGGAGGCCAGAGGGCGGACACTGAGTGAGGCTGGGCTTCCAATTCCCCAGCTCCTTCCCTGAAATGTTGCTGTTGGCTGAAAGGATTACTTGGTTTGAGATCTGAGCTCTTGCCGGGCAAACCTCTCTAAACATCCTACCCCCTCTCTCAGGATTCTAGTAATGGTAATAACTTCTCCTCAGTCTTTCAGGTCTAGAATGGTAGCAGACCCTGTGATGCCAGCCTCAGGAAACTGTGCACGATCTCTTGTTTCTCTACTTCACACAAAACCGTATGTCAAGTGATTTGAGTGGGATGAAGCCCCTGTTTGTGCAGGGAACCTGACTCCTAAGTAGGTGCTTCATTAGTCAAAGTGCACATTTACCTCCCAGGTCACAGAGATGCCCAAATACCCTGAAGGCTCAACTACTACCCAAGCTGGAACAGAAATGTTCATCAGACCAGAAAAGGACAGGCCTGGGACGGTGAATCACTCACAGGGTTACTCTCCTCCCCCATGACAGATGGCTGGGTGTGCTGCCCTCCCCTCCCATAGAGAAACCCCAGCACTGGGAAAAAAGATGATTTCTTTATTTATTAGATAAATGTGGCTGTAAGAACAGTGCAGCTGCTCCCAGGCTCTTCCATATCTTGTTATCAGATCACAAAGTGTGTGTGTGTGTGGATGAGAATTCACAGAGAAGATGGGAAAACAACTCAGTGTTTGGTTATGAGGTCAGAGGGAGGGCAGTATTTAGGGAGTCAGCAGGGGAGAAAAATCATGGGTAAATGGAGTCAGTGGGAGGTTATCCCACACCAAAGGGCTAGGGATATCCCCAGCCCCATCACACAAGCCAGGCAGCAAACAGGAACAGCCCCACTTTGGCGAACCTTATCTTCCACATCTTCATTCTCAGGACCCTCACTTGCGATGAAATGCCCAATATTTTTGGTGTGGTTCAATAAGGAGCTGGAAGGTTGGGCCACGCAGCCCTGAATGTTAAATATAGCGGACGGCCCATCTAGAGAGTGAAGATTGACTCAGAGGGGTCTCAAAGTAATACACACTTAAATTCCTATGATCCAGAATCTCAGATCCTACCACTCGCCCCTCAGACCAGGAGATCAGGCTCTTAGGCCTCGCCACCCTCAGATCTAGAAATCTGAATCTCCAGCTCTCTCCACACTCAAGCCCATGAGCCAGGGCCTCAAGCATCTTCCCACCGCAGCACCAGTGAATCCAAACCCCTAACCCTTTAATCCTGGGACCTGGCCTTCAGCACTTACCTCCTTTGAGATTGAGATAGCTGTTATAACAATGAGTGGTACCAAGAGGGCACTTGACGTTTACAGTGTTTGAACAGGATCCACCGAATTGCACACAGGCAGGACATTGCAGGCCTCCTGGGGCAGGGGCAGGGGCAGCTGGGGAGCAAAGGGAAGGTTAGGGTGCACAGCCCTGCTCCCAGCTGCAGTCACCCTCTTAGAGCCCAGAGTCTCCATATCCCTCGGGCCCCATCTCTCCATGTCCTCCCCTATCCCCCTGGGCTCCCATACCTGGACGAGGGAGGGAGTTCAGCAGGACACTGCTACTTGTGGCCCTGTTGCACCCATCGGAGGAACAGAAATGGGCATAGGAGGCGACAAGCACTCCAGGGGGCTCCGAGTGGATGGAGATAGTCGTGGAATTCTGTGTCTCAGTCTTGCTGCAGCCTTTGATCCCCGCTATGAGTGATGTAGGTCCTGCAGGGGAAGGGAGTGAGGGAGTGACAGCTGGGCTGGGGAAGGGACATTCCCAAGGGAGACAGGAGCTAGCATTTTCTGGATGCTTAGCAGACAGAGGTTGAAAGTAAGATGCCTGAGTCCAAGATCAGAGGTCATTGCAGGTGGGGTGAAGAGGGAGCCTGAGCCTGAGTCATTCCATGAGCTCCGTCACTTCTCAGTTCTTGCTCAAATGTCACCCTCTCAGTGGAGCCTCCCATTTTTCAAATTGCAACCGCCATCTCACTCTCTCTTATCTCCTGTCCCTGCTGGATTTTCTGCTTCCTCACTCATGCAAAAAGAGGCAGGAAGACACCCAATGGCATCTATAGAGGCTGGCACACAACAGGTGCTCAATAAGGTTCAGACAAAGTCACTGATGTCACTGTACACCAGCTCTGTTCTCAGATTTTGCAAGGGCCCTCGAATATATCCTCATGACTACCCAGCACAATAAGTACTATTACTGCCAGCACCGAGCCCCATTTTTCAGAAGGGGAAACCAAGGTCAGAAAGAGAAAGACTGAGGTGTAGAACTCCAGGCATGGTGGGAATCGGGGAGCAAGTTCAGGGGACAGAATCCAGGGCAGGAGACCCAGGACGCCATGCAGCCATCCCTCCCTGTTGCATAGTCCACGCACCTACATCTATGAGCAGCAGTGTCTCCTGACACACCTCCTTTAAATCACATGTCATGGTCGAAAATGTGTTCCATGGCTGGGGGTTCTGCGTCAGGTTTTCTTTGATCTGAAGCATGACCCCCTTTTGACAGGTCAGAGGAGCTGTGGAGAAGAAATCAGGGTCTGTGTAAGCCCAGGAACAAGCCATGTCTGTCCCTCCTGGTCTCGTGCTTGGGAAGGTGATTACGTTCTTGAGTCACACTCCAGGTAGCCTGGACACAGTCCCTTGATCTCAGGCTTACAAGGGATATTTGAAGTCTGAGACCCTCCCCTATTCTTCATACCACCACTTCTGCTCCAACATCTGCAGGGACCATTCTCAACACCCCTTTAAGGCTGCTCCTTGCTTGGGGTGTGAGAGAGACGGATGGGTCGGCGTCCTCTGGCATCTCCATTAGACACTTTGGAATCCTGCACAAACTCACTTCATGTGCTGAGTCAGCCCTTGTGTTGCCTCAGGCTAGAAACCTTGGTGTCAGTGACATCCAGGCCTTGTCTTCATGGCTCCCAGTTTAGGTTAATGAGGAGTGTAGACTGACAACTTATATTCTTTTAACTGAGAAACCCCATGTTCCAAACAGAATTATTGCAGTGCCTAGTGTGTACTGAGCAATTACTATGTGCCCGGCTGTTGTGATTGCTTTCTATGTTTTAGCCCGTTTAAGTTTCCCAAGAAGCTCCCTCATTTGGGTTACCTCATTTTCTCACAATGACCCCCAAAGTAGGTGGTGCTATCCTCCTCCTCCCCATTTTCAAGATGGAAAACAGAAGCAGAATTGTGAAGCAGCTTTCCTAGTGCCCACT